CGGTTCCTACAATTTGTTTTTATTGTGTGCTTACTTATTGTCTTACCCAAAAAGATTATTTTACGCTTAATTTTTTAATTTATTTAAATAAAATAGGATAGCTAAGATAAGGTGAGTGGAAGTGTGGTTCAAGGTTTGTTTATATAAATAAATTAAAAAATCAAGGCAAAATAATCGTTTTAGGTAAGACAGAGACCAAAAACGCAACAAAAATAAACAATAGGGACCTTCCGATTTAAAAAAATAAGTTAAGAATAAAATGTACAAATTATCAAACCATAGGCACCATTCGTAGAATTTACTCAAAAAAAACAACTTACTTGATATTCAAGTGCAGTTTTAAGCGTGCTCACGACCAAATTAGTTGTGGGGCGTCGTGACTTATTACTTTCCAAACATTGGTATGCAAGTCCTACGAATGTATCAAAACAACTTTGACCAATCTGTTGCCTTAGATTATCATCCACAACACTATCTAGTTTCTGCTCTAGATAGTTCTTCTTAATTAATATTGGTAGGGATCGACGCGCATCCTCATAACTATTATCAATACAAGGCCTTGAGCACAAAGCTTCGAATAGCACCACACCCAACGAGTAGACATCAGATTCCTTTGTCAATAACACAGTATCTTTATATATTGGATCAAAATAGCCAAGAGGGACTTCCTCATCGAAGAAAAGGATCCTGTGATCTTCGTTGTCTTTCCCGTATCTGGATAGGCCAATATCTGTAATATATGCATTCCAATTTCTGTCCAACAAGATGTTAGCACTTCTAATATGACCATGATGTGTACCCTTATGATCATGAAGGTACTCCAAGCCACATGCAGCCCCAAGACATGCCTTGAGACGTTGAATCCAAGTGAATTTGGGATCAAGTAGAAGAACATCAAGGCGCTGATGAATTGCATAGTCGTACACAATGATCTTTTCCTTACTCTCGTCACAAAATCCTCTAAGAGAGACAATATTTTGATGTTTATAACTTGTCAGCAACATGATCTCTCTCCAAAACAAAAGATCTGTATCGGCTATGGTACAATCCAAGCGCTTTACAGCACACATGACTTGTCCCTTAGAGTGTTTGAATTCTCCTCTGTATAAATTCCCTGCAGATCCACCTTCCGCTATAAAGTGGTCATCACCAAAGTTGTTTGTGGCATGCTTTATGATATCAAGTCCAATTCTGAGGTGTCCAAACTCTTTCACTAAGGACGAATTTGTGTCTGCGACTGACTATACAATTTGGAAAAGAAAGTTAATATTTCCTCGCAATGATAGTTAGAGCATCTTTAGGGGGTCTCACTCCAAGAGTATAGGGTAATAAGGATTGTTAAAACAAATATCATTAATTGAAAAAGAAAAGTCAACTTACTTGATATTCAAGGCTTGTTTCAAGTTCTCTCACGATCTGCTCTATAGATGGACGTAAATCGTACTCTCCGTGCAAACATTGATAGGCAATTTCTGAAAAGATCTTGTAAGAACTGGGATGTATTTCATCCTTTATGTTACGACAAACAAGTTCCTTTAGCTTCTTTCGTCTATGATGGTATCTTACTATATGAGTCAAAAATGGAGTAGATGTATCATTAATGTTAATAATACATACCCTCCCGCACAAAACCTCAAACAAAACAACACCAAACGAGTAAATATCGGATTCCTTTGTTAGTATTCCCCTCTCCATGTATTGAGGATCAGTATACCCTACCGTACCTACAACATTATTATTATTGGTGATAATAAAAGAGTTTTGCTGGTTGGCTGGAGCGATTTTGGCTAAACCAAAATCTGCGATCTTGGCGTTCCAATTTTCATCTATTAAAATGTTGGAACTCTTGATATCGCGATGCAGTAGTCTTTGATGACCTCCAGCAGGATTATGAATATATGCCACTCCACGAGCTGCTCCGATGCATATTTTAAGGCGTTTGACCCACGTTAACTCGTGGCTGGTAAGATGTTTGTCGAGACTTTTCTTAGATGCATATTCGTAGACTAGGATCTTCTCATCTTTCTCTTCACAATAGCCTAAGAGGGAGATAATATTTTCATGCTTATAAGCTGAAAGCATAATGATCTCCTTCAAAAACTCAGGATCTCCTTGGCCAAACTTGCGGTTTAAACATTTTACAGCCACTGTCTTTGTCGTCTTCTCGTCGGAAATGAGTTCTCCCTTGAACACCGGTCCAAATCCTCCTCCGCCGATATGATTATCTATTGCAAATTCGTTAGTTGCTTTTTTTATAGCATCTAGTTTCATTCTAAGGTGTTCGAACCCTTTTAGAATCGGCATCTTTTTGATGATTGATCAAAAATAGGAAACAAGAGTAAAAGTTTCAAAGAATAAAAGTAGATGTGTTTGAGAAGATATTGCGTTTATTGCTCCATGAGAATATATAAAACATAAGGTCTTAGTCAACTCTCTCCTTGCCTAATCCATGTTCAGTCTTATTAAAATAATGAATTGCCAGCTTGCAGGCACTTCTTAGAAATATCTAAAACTTAAGATCTTAGTCGACCTCTCTCTCCTTACATAACTGATGATTCATTTAATGTTGATGAATTGCGTAGTTGCAAAATGAGTATAACAGAACTAGCACGTGCCTTACCTAACGTTATTAATTATTCCCATGTGCTTTAAGATTATCAAATTGTGATGCATTTATAAAAGGGTAAATTCGGCAGGATAAATTCGGCAAATGCTCAAAAAGTAAAAAGTAGAGTGAGTTTGAAAAAAATATCATAAAAATGAAGATTTCAGGAAATGATCATATGTTCCGCAGAGGGGTTCTGTGGAACCATAAACTTCTCTGCGGAATGTGAACACCTCTACAGATATTGGTTTTTTTTTTTTTTTTTTCATTTGTCGTTTTTTTTTCGTTTATTAATATTTTTTTAATCACATAAGGTATTATGTGATTATTATTTAAAAATCTTTGTTTTCGTTTTTCCTTGTCTTATTTAATTACTCGTTTATAAAAGTTGTGTCTTTAATAAGAATTATACAAATATTCTATGTTTTTTATAAAATTATACACACCGGTGTTCTGAATAATAAACATATTTTAAGTAGGTTACAAAATATACTTTAGAAAACATAAAATACAACCTTCATAATAAACATACTTTGAAATAACCTTCATTAAAGTCTCTACGGATTCCCTATAGTTCTGCGGAATCTTTGTTTTTTGATTTTTTAATGTTTTTTTCATTTTTTTTCCGTTCATTTTCGTTTATTAATATAATTTTTTTTAAAATACACTAATACCCTATGTGATTATTATGTAAAAAATTCAACAAAAAAAAATTTATAAATAATGAAATGTTTTATGTAATACGTTTGCGTCTGAGGAACCGAAATACCTCTGCGGATCTTGAGTTTTTTAATTTTTAATTTTTTCGTTTTTTCGTTTTTTCTATTTTTTGTTTTCGTTTATTAATATTAGTTTTTTTTAATACACTAATACCTTATGTTTTACGTAAAAAAATTGACAAAAAAATGTTAAAAATAATGAACTTATGTTTAATATCAGTCCACATAACTGTTTGGAAATCTACAAAACTGTTATCAGCGCATCAATGTACACATCTATGGATCAGTGTTCACCTTTGCGGATCTATGTACACCTCTACGGATCAGTTATAGAAGTTATAGACGTATTTTAGTGGGTTTTTGTGAGTTTGTGAGATTAAGAGGTGTAAACAGATCCGTAGAGGTGTACACAGATCCGCAGAGGTGTACATTGATCCACAGATGTATACATTGATACACTGATAAAAGTTTTGTGGATTCTCAAACAGTTCTGTGGACTGATATTAAATATAAGTTCATTATTTTTAACCTTTTTTTGTCAAATTTTTTACATAAAACATAAGGTATTAGTGTATTAAAAAAACTAATATTAATAAATGAAAACAAAAAAAATAGAAAAAACGAATAAACAAAACAACTAAAAATTAAAAATTAAAAAAATTCAAGATCCACAGAGGTGTTTCGGTTCCTCAGATGCAAACGTATTACATAAAACATTTCATAATTTATAACATTTTTTTGTAGAATTTTTTATATAATAATCACATAGGGTATTAGTGTATTTAAAAAAAAATTATATTAATAAACGAAAACGAACGCAAAAAAACGAAAAGAAAAAAAAAAAAAAACAAAGATTATGCAGAGCTGTAGAGGATCTACAGAGCCTACAATGAAGTTTATTTCAAAATATGTTTATTATCATGGTTGTATGTTTATGTTTTCTAAATTATGTTTCGTAACCTATTTAAAATATGTTTATTATTCATAATACCAGTGTGTGTAATTTTATAAAAAAAAACATAAAATATTTGTATAATTTTTATTAAACACACAACTTTTATAAACGGGTAATTAAATAAGAAAAATAAAAAAAACGAAAACACTTTTTTTACATAATAATCACATAATATCTTATGTGATTAAAAAAATATTAATAAACAAAAAAAAAATGAAAAAAACCAAGATCTGCAGAGGTGTTCACATTCCGCAGAGATGTTTATGGTTCTGCAGAACCCCCTCTACGGAACCTGTGGTTATTTTCTGAAATCTTCATTTTTATGGTCATTTTTATCAAAGTTATACTACTTTTTGGTCATTTGCCAAATTTTCTTTTTATAAAATGTCTCATCTCCGGCTTCGTATTCACTAAAATGCCATTAAAATTGTCATAGTTCAAGGGGTTGGTAAGTTGGTTCAATGACCAACACCGGCGGAAGAGTCATGGTTTAGATCCACGGTATAATTATCACTTTGGTTTTTCTAACGGCAATAGAAATTTTATTAAAAAATAAAAACAAGCTGGAAAATTATAAAAACAAAAGGAAAAAAACAATAAAACCGCAAACCATACATCAACATAAGGCTTAATGATCTAGACAATATTTTTTGTTCCCCCGGATCTCCAACATGGCATTTTGGGCTTTAAGAAACTAGACAAGAGTTGTTGCATCCATAGTTGTGAAAATCGCGATCCTGATCGTAGGATCGTACGATCCTACAATCCTAGGTATGAAAAACGATCCGGATCGTAAAAGGATCGTATTTGGGGTAGGATCGCAGGTAAGATCGTAAGATCGTAGGTAGGATCGTAGGATCGAGATCCGATCCGATCCTACCTTCCTTTGAATTTTTTTTTTTTTTTTTTTTTTTTTTTTTTTTTTTTGCAAATGAATTTTTTTTACCACTTTATGCCTTTTATCCTTTACCAATCTATCATTTATCATTTTTTATTGTGACTTATGACTAATATTTTGAAGTTTTTATTACTTTTGAATGAAAAACTAAATGTTTGAAATAGTTTTTATGATTAAATATTATAAATTAAAATTATATTCTATTTTGTGGGATCTTAGGATCTCGATCCCGATCTTACGATCCCGATCTTGCAAACCCAAAATCGATCCTAGGTAGGATCCCGATCTTGACAACCTTGGTTGCATCTATTAATGGCTACGAAGATTGTAACCATGGCATTTTGGGTTTTAATAAACTAGACAGGAGTTGTTGCATCTATTAATGGCTACGAAGATTGTAGACAGCTTCGATATTACCAACAATTAATGTATGTACACCAAGGGTGATATTGTCAAAAAATTTAGACAGCAGGTTTGTAGACACCAATAATAACAACAAAGTTATTCTTAAAGCAATGACCAAGAGTATCACCTTCCTAAGGGGCAACAACTCCACATGACACGGACGGATGTAGGAATTTATAGCAGCAGTATTACAAAAAAAAATGAGTGCATTAAAAATAACAAACTAGTGGTTATCGAACATAAATTTTAAATTTTACATCTACATTTACATTTTTTTAAAAACGATTCACTACATCTTCGATCTTAACCTTTATAAAAGCTTCTTTTTTAGCATTACAAATCAAGACACCGTTCAAAAAATCATTACTTATTTTGTTATGCGAGTCTGTATTCAAAAGCTTCGTCATGGAAAAACATTTTTCCACTATTGCGATCAGGATGGGTAAAACCAAAACTTACTTTTACAACCTATAAATCATAGGATAAGAACGATGTTTTCATGTTTCCACCATCAAATGAAAAAGGTCGGAAATGAATCACGAGGACTTCTTTATGTAAATAGTGACAATATATCTCAAGTTCATCATCAAGTTACATCCTCTCTAAATCATTAAAATCACTCTTATACAACGACTCACTCAACTTCAACAACTTTGTTTTGTCAAAGTTAGCAAATGAATCACAAGGACTCAAAGCCCCCATGTATTCTAGTAATTGGTGGTTATTTCATTAAATCGGTCCTCGAATTCTATAATTTGCATATCCACAACCTTTTAAAAATTTCAACTTCAAATCAATACTTCTAATTGGGTAGTTGTAGGTTGTAGACTTTGTGATTGTGGTCCTTGTGGATATGGAGCATTAGAAACCAAAGGGAATGATTGATTAGAATTGGAGCATTGTCTTTTGGACGATCCTTCAACACTTGATTCATTGGATCTTGGTCTCTTAAAGGACTCAATTTTACCCTAACATGTCAATATTTAAACAAGTAATCAATATAATAACAACTCAAGAACTAATTTCTCATAAAAAAAATTACTAATTTCACCAAAAACAACTAATAATTTCACTAAAACAATTAATAAATTCAACAAAAAAAACAACTAGTTTAATACAACATACCCCTAAAAAAAGATCAAAACATAATTGTGTTTGGCTACTTAATGTGTTTTGTCAAATGTTCTGTACGTATATAGTCTCATTTATAACGGGTTGGGCATGTCCATCCATGTATGTGCTTATCTAGGGTTAGCAATCGTAGCTTTCAAAAGCCTTTGTCAACTCTGATCTTATCAGAAGCGTGTCCTTTAGATAAGGGATCATATATTCCTCCATTCTAGATATCGTATAGACGTGAGACATGGATTGAAATCATTCTCTCAGTCTATTTGTTGTTTCCCGATTTGCGATTTATGACGACTGACAATAGACTACAATTGAACACATCAACTTAGTCCCCGCTTGGCCAAGCGCTTAGGGTGTCATCACTAAATCATAAAGGGGCCCATAGATATCGCTTTTATCCCATTTGGGTAAAAGGAACGGATAAAATTCGACTCAATGTTGGTTTGTACTCACTCACCGAATCACGCACAACAATATGTTTTAGAACACCAAGTTACTGGTGCGTTTACATATTATGAATGTGTAACCGACTCACAAGATACAACTTACACATCTCGGTTTCAAGAATATAAGATATTATCATCTCACCAATCTCACGAGATAAAATCCATGAAGCGATTCAAGTGAGCGTGGGTTTAATCCAATACTCTAATCTTATAGCCACACTCATGAACCCTGCAACAAACTTTTTTTATGTCTAAAATACTTTGGACAATCTACAGTCAGATTCATGACAGTCTTCTTTCATACCTACTTCCAAAGAATGAGCGACTGTGGAGGGTTTGAATAA